CAGCAGCAAAACCAAATGCCGCGCAGAGAGCGGCAGAAGGAGGAACTATAAGATGAAGAGATGATTCACAGGAGACTGAAGAAAACACAACACTACCTTCCTTTAGAAGCAAAATCCATTAAAAAAAAAAACAAAAAACCAAACTTGTTGAACTCCTCGGGAATTAAATGTGAGAATAGTAAGGGAATTGAGCTTAAATACAGCAGCAAAACCAAATGCCGCGCAGAGAGCGGCAGAAGGAGGAACTATAAGATGAAGAGATGATTCACAGGAGACTGAAGAAAACACAACACTACCTTCCTTTAGAAGCAAAATCCATTAAAAAAAAAAACAAAAAACCAAACTTGTTGAACTCCTCGGGAATTAAATGTGAGAATAGTAAGGGAATTGAGCTTAAATAAGGAAATGTTGAGCAAATTTGACATTTGGGCTCGAATGGGCCAAATTCACAGAAGCCCCACTGTCACCTCTGCCCCGGCACCTGGAGCACGGTCCAGAGGGATTTCTCTGCACCGCACTGCTCTGGGGCTGCCCCCAAAGAGCTCCTGCCAACGGGGCTGCACAGCAACAGAGACTAAAATACTGTCTGTCCCTGGGGCCAGGCTGACCTAATTGGGTTTTTTTAACTTCACATTCTTTGTTTGACAGTAGGATGGGAAAGAAACAAGAGAGGTCATTTGAATTTTACCCGTCATTCAACACCACACTGACATCATACATTTGATATTTATGTAAAGTGGATAAAACTCACCTTCCCCCAGCAGCTGAATGTCTCTGCTGATGATTCTCTTGTTGACGTTCCAGTCGTGTAGAGACTGGAGCGGGTGGGATGGATGGAGGACTGCAAATGAAAGCTTCCTTTTGAGGCTCAAAATGTTGTCAGAAAGGTTTCTGCTAATTGATTTAGCATTTTTGTGAAGAACTTCAGATCTTCACTGATTCTAAACAGCAAGATATGGCTGGTTTGTATAGGGAGTTGTATTTCTAGGAGTTACACGTGTATGAGAATCCAGAAGGTAAATAAAGGCCAAGTGCACGCTGGCCTTTGGTGATTTTATGGACTGAAGCCTTCAGCTCTTCACAATTGAGTCAATTCTGTTTTCAATGATGTTAAATTAACCTTTACAAAATTGTGTCAAGGAGCTCAAAACCCTGAAACCATGCTAATTAAGAAGATCAACTAGGTTCAGGAGAAATTCAACATCTAAGCTGGCTGCCATGAAACAAGATTTTTCAGTTTTTTCTTTGCTTTAATACTTCCACCTTTACCAAATGCCTATTTATTTTTTTACACAAAAAGATTGTGGTTTGTCTTTTCAAAGGCTCAGCTGTGTCTCAGGCTCTGGGGCAGCCGTTCCTGTTCTCCAGATGTGTGATGCTCCACATGCCAAGGGGACACTCCACATGCCAGGGGTGCTGCTGTCGGCACCCGAGCCCCTGCTGCCCGGGGATATTTTAAGTGCATTTCTTTTGTATCCTGATAGTATGAACAAGCCATTTTTTTATTATTTTTTTCTAGTCTCAGGGATTCTTTTTCACCTTCCAGCGTACATCCAGTTCTGTAACGTTAGACCTGATCTCATTAAGGGTGCTTAGGTGTTTGTGTAACATTTCACACCTCCCAGACCTTGTGCAAGCTCTGTCCGATTCTCCCGCCGCTCCGGTGAGCTCCCCCGGGGCTGACAGCGTTACTTTCTGTATTAGGGCCGTGCTGTCCAGTCCTGGCTCTAAAGAGCTTAGCGGTGAGGGACTGGGACCTGACCAAGGTCAAGCTGCCTGGGAGCCCCAGCACGTGTTTCAGATGCACGGAGCAGCCGGGAGCCCCGCGGCTGCCTTTGCCGACAGATCTCCTGTGGTTACATCATCCGGCGCCGATAACGCGCCCGGGGTGACTCCAGAAAACTGCATTTTCTGTGAGCTGCCAAGCGAGGGGCTGCAGGTGAGGACCCCACATCTGCGGCACAGGGACACACCATCAGGACAGGGCACCAAAAACTGGGCTCCACTTCACCGTGTCAGTGGCCTCTCACCAGCCAGCACCGTGGCATCGCAGCCCTGCGAGAAAAAGGCAATGGGAAGGTTGTGACTCAGAGGAAAAGCAATCTGTCAATTAACAGAATTTAGAGATGACAGCGGCACAAACTGTACAAGACAGATCAACAAAATGTTTTCTATCCGTTCCCCTCCCTGCAGTCGTGAGCTCTTTATTTATTATTTGAGCGATAAAGCAGCTCAGCTATAATCCGTCTCCATCACTAGATGTACCTAACTTTTAATCCATTAAGTCACGGATGCTTTAGTTAAAATTAGTAACCACTCAACAGGACTTTTTTAACCACTAAATATGAAGCATAATATAAACATTTGTAATTGCACTAAACAACTATACTGACAAGAGAGTGTTACCATGTGGTCACCAGCTCCTACCCAGCAGATCTGGTATGACACTGCACTGATGGCTGGAGCGGGACCTAAGGGCAGGGACACGGTCAGAAGTCTGTGGGAAGCAAAGGAAATTCAAAATTTCACACACTTGAAAATTCTGACTCCTCTGACCAAGCAAACACCATTCACAGTGTGCTGAAGGCAGCTAGCTCCTGGGTAATCCTGTTCTTCATGTGAGCACCTGCCACATCACTCACCTCTCTCCTCCTCCTCACAGTGTTCCCTGCTTCCGCTCTGGAGGACATGGGTCGCAAGGAAGAGGACGACAGCAATTCCTGGAAGAAACAGACAAACAACATCCGGAAAACATTCATTTTCATGGAATCCCTGGGATCGTAAGTACCACAGCTCCTCACCAGACAGAGCCACCTCTAGATACCAGCCTCCCAGCCCAGGGCAGTAATCCCTTCCTGGCATTGGCCCATGTCAGAGGAAAGTGGTTCCCTCTGAGATGGGCACTGCTCTCCAGGTGAGGGGTGGGTGCCCATCGCTGCTGTGGGGACTCTGATTCACAGCTCACCCTTGCTGAGCAGCCCCACAGCTGCTCCCTCCCAGCTCCGGGTCAGCTCTGCCCATTCCTCCTTTCCCTCTAAACCTGAGCGGCAGTTTAGTTCAGT